TAAAAGAAGCAGACCCTTTCGAGGGTTTTAGTATCGCTCAAGGTCGAAGGTTAAGCTGGGTGTCCAGGCGGCGCAATCTGGCCATGCCGAGGCCAGGAGATAAGTGACCCGATTTTGACGAGCTGGAGGCCCAACAGCCTGGGGCATGGACAAGGGGAATCTGACAAATAAGTGTCATTCAAGATATCAAGCGGTCGTGTGTTTCATTTTGGGAGGGGCATAGGAGGTATGTGGCGGACTCACTAAATGTTCACAACTCATTGCACTTGCAGGTGAGCGACCACTGACCAGGTTCGTATAAGGAAAATGGAATAGGCGCAAGTAGGTCTTGTAAAAGTCTAAACGAAGCCTTCGCGGAAATGTAGTTTTGTGATCATTGGTATTGACTTCTTTGAATCACAACAGATGGAAGCAACCATAGTTTCTAGAGTTTCTAGGGTGAAAACAAGGTTGTTTCCAACATACCAGCTGGCAAGTATTTTTTGCCAGCGAAACAACAGAAATACATGGCTTGCAATGAATAAGCTGCCAACAGGAGCGGCTTGATGTCACGTATAGGGACGAGGTGCGTCTGACCAACAACCCTGGTTGTACAAATTCGGCCAAGTAAGACACAGGCTGCAGAGATATTCCAGCTTTGAAGAGAAACGCAATGGAAACTAACCATTTTGGAGGTCCACTAATCTTGTTGTCTCAACAACCCAAGAGACTTGATGTTGGCATGTGCTCAAACAGACCGTAGGTCTCAACATGAAATTAGGCAAGACCAAGGCGAGGCCAGCTCAGGGACCGATGTGCAAGCATTGCGCGCACAACATGTCCTGATATGATCTTAGAAAGTTCATGTTTGGTTCTCCTTGTTGTGCCCGCATCAAGAGGGCGGGAGGTGTTTTAGATCACATTCGTTTTTAATCGGCAAGCGGATGTCCCCTCATTTGCAAGCCACTGGCGCATATCGGTAGCCATGCGTTATTGCATGTGCGGTGCTGTTGGCTGAGTCGTGTCCTTTGTCAGCAAATCTGAGCCAAGTCGGCCTCCGGTCACACTGTGGGCAAAGCCTCTGATGCGAAGGAAAAGGTGTCAAAGCGCTTGAGACTGGCAGCTAGAGACCTCGCAAGAGCCTGTTTGTAGCGGCAGCAGGAAGGTTTGCAAAGGTGCAAACCAATCCTTCCGCTCGGCAACAGCAGCATCACCGCCAGCCCAGGTCACGGACACTTGCGAAGCTCCTGTGAAGGAAGCTGAGGGAGCTGAGTAGCTGCTCCAGCGCTGCTGCGCACGGCATTTGCTTCCACTCCCTTCAGGCCTGGGCCGCGTCGACCGGCAAAAGCCTTCAGCAGTCAGCCTCCTGCGCAGAGGAGTCTTCTTTTCACAGCTTGCCCGAGCGCCTTGAAGCATTCCATGTGCTTATTGTTTTTGATGTTGTTTTCCCTTGCTGGTTTCAAAGGGAATCTATACTGTTATTTTCCAGGGGGGTTAAGCAAATGGAAGCTAGTGAAGGGAGAGCGGCACTGGCACTGGAGTTTTCGTCCCCAGTATCGTCCAGCTATGGGGTTACTCTTTTACCTGGAAAGTGTCCATGCGACTGTTTTCTCTTGGCCCGGTTGTGTTGGGGGTGGTGGGAGTGTTTTTGGCCGGTGGTGCCCGGTGTGTATGTCCTACTCGATGTTGTTTCGGTGGTTTCCCGGAGGTTTGAGTGGTGTTCTGTGCTCCGGTTTGCTTTCCCGGTATCGTCCTTTTAGTGACCTGGCTGTCTCAGTGATGGTGACTGTTCCAGCATGGTTCTGTGCCCAGCTATTCGTCCCGGTGCCAATTGCTGTCCGAGCGATGGTCATGTTGTTCTGGTGAGTGCCGGTGGTGCCGCGTTGCTGTTCTTCCAGCTTGCTGCTGGCTTGCTGTTCTCGCTGTCATCCATCCCGGTGGTGTGCGTGCGTGCGTGCCTGCGGGCGGGCGGGCGGGCGGGCGGGCGGGCGTGCGTGCAAAGCGTGCGCGGGCGTGGCGTGCGTGCGTGCCGCAGCGTGCGCGCGCGCGCGTGCGTGCGCGTGCGTGCGCTGCGCGCGCGCGTGCGTGCGTGCGTGCGTGCGTGCGTGCGGGCGCGCGCGCGGGGCGTGCGGGCGGGGGCCCGGGGCCGGGGCCGGGGCCGGGGCCGGGCCGGGGCTGGGGCCGGGGCCGGGGCCGGGGCCGGGGCCGGCGGGGGCGGGGGAAAAAATACAGAAACGGGATTTGAAGGAACTGACATTTCTGTATTTTTTCTATCAACCAATGGAAAAACACATTGAAAAACCAAGTATCAAATAATAGATAAGGTTAATAAATCACAACCTTATTCATTCTAAGTAATTCCTAGAAAGATGCACACCTTATTCATTATTTTTTCACTACTTAACCTATTTCAATTTACTATTTGTTTACCCTTAGTCATTTTATATTTTAAGTCTTTTTCCAATTCTCAGAAACTCAAGTTATTCTTCATTTTTTCATTTTACCTTATTCATTGTTCGCAAATTTTTCACTCAGACTTAAAAATATGACTAAAACACATTTTCACATAATAGTTCCACAAAACCAAACAGTCAAAGCACACAAGAAAACTAAGAAAATATAATAATTCAATCTTTACAAACCATAAGTACAGTATAATTATAACATATAATATTTTACATGTTATAGTTATATTACAATTATGAGACAACTATTATTTGATGTGAAAACCACATTGTAAAACCACATACTACATACCCCTATGTGAAAACCACATACCCCTATGTGAAAACCACATACCCCTATGTGAAAACCACATACCCCTATGTGAAAACCACATACCCCTATGTGAAAACCACATTGTGGAAACCACATACCCCGATGCGAAAACCACATTGTGAAAATCACATTGAGGAAACCACATTGCGAAAACGTCACCATTTTTGACAATGGTTGTCTTATGTTTTGGTTGTGCTTAGTTCATCACACTCACCAAGATTTCACAAATTAATTCGCTAGGTATCTTATATAAATCTTCCTGCTTATGTATTGTTGGATTGTCTCCCCATTTTTCCTTAGTGCCCGATGGTAGCCATTGTGCTGTCTCAATATGTTTATTATTCCTGATGTTGCCACAATCCTTTTTACATAAATCTCTAGGTTTCCAAGTTGTAATGTTATTCCAAAGCCTTGTTCTCTTTCTGTAAGGCATTCCATATTTACAATAATCTACATCTTTGAATTCAAACTCATCCATAAACTCCTGATTTTTCAATAATCCGGTTTGGGGATTTTCAATTACAAAATACTTAGGATTGAAATATTTGATAATTTCAATAGTTTTTAAAACTATACTATTAGCATATTCTATATTCCTAATTCCCGTAGTTTTTGCTTTGCTGTATTCAGTGCATGGTGGAGATGTCCAGATAAAATCAAAATGGTTCCTATCAAATTGTTTATAATCCCATTTCAATATATCAGTATTTATATCAGCATTTTTCAAATCCAATGAAATAACATTGAAACCGAGCGACTTTGCAACAAGTCCAACACTACCTGTTCCGCTAAACATCTCTAATAAGTTCATTATGAAAGATATTTAGATAATATTATCTATGAATAAAAATCCCTGTTTCCTCGTTAAAAACTAAACTATGTTTAGTTTTCAATGAGTAAATGCAACTTTATGAATAAAGTTGAGTTTCCTCATCATAGTCAATTTGATAAAATGTCATAGTTGAAGCCTTCGGCTCTTTTATCTCTTTGTTGTTGAGTTTGTTTAAATACACTTGTTTCTTATTTTTATATTCGCCATTGGTTCTATCTACTTCTTTACTTTGATAACTGTTTGTTACTGGTTTCTTCTTTTCCATTTCTTGTAAGATTTCTAAAATATTCTTATTATGTTCTAAAACCCTATTCAGTTTTTTAACAATATTTTCTAATCCTTCATCCATGTAAATATATACCAAATTATAAAACTAAACTTTTAAAACTAAATGTTGCAATTATGTTAAATCTACTCTTTAAATACTATTTTTTCATTATTTCACGTATAGTTTCCTGAGTTTCCTTATCACCATTATCGGATGAGTTTATATTTTGTTGTTCTTTCTGTTTGTGGTATGCTTCCCTTTGTTTTCTATTAACTTCTTCTCTATGTTCTTCGCGATATTGTCTCGCTTTTACCCTTAATTCTTCTCGGTTTGCTTCACGGTACTTCAACTTGTTCTCTAACACTTTCTCTCTATTGTTTTCACGATATGATTTATTCCTATTTGCCTTTTGTTGTTTGACATATTCGGGGTTGTCCTGTTTAGACTCTTGTTGTGTTCTTCCTGGCACTTTAATATTAAGAGTTGGTTTTAACTCTCTTATCAATTCCCCTTCCCTCCTTTCTAATTGGCATTTGTTTTCACAGGGACATTCTTCAATTAACTCAATATAAAAGTTGTTATATCCGTGTTCTAACATAAATGGATATATTATTGTATTTTGACCGTTTTGTTTCTTCATGTCACCTCTATGCTGTACCATTCTTTGACTTAGACTTTGACAGGTGCTTCCAATGTAATAATCGTTAGTTTTACTATTTCTAATACAATATATTGTACCGTTTTGATATTTTTTAGTATTTTTAACTTTATCACTATTCATATTGATATATATTGTTTTTTATTGTTTAAGTATTTTTCATTATCTCTTTAACGGTTTGTTGCGTTTCTTTTTCTTGACAACTTGCTGACACATCACGACCCCATTTAAAAGTTATATTATGAACATCTGTTTCTAAGTTTATACTGTCTTCCTGGAAAGCCAAGTATACACTTTTAAATGTGAACTGATCACTGTGACCGAATTTCAGTCACTTTCAGGAAAGTGGCGGTTTTCCCAATCCAAGTTTGGCTCAAGCGGCAAATTGTTTTCTCCACATCGCCAAATCGGTCCGGTTCGGAACTCGCTACCATCGCGTGGCCACGCACACCAAATAGCGCTGCAAAGTCCGTGACTCTATTAGTCTAGGCGACACCGACCTTGTCAATGTTGAGACTTTCCCAACAAAATCTTCATCCATTTGCACCGAATGTGCAATCGGATTGACTGTCTCATGATCCCCCACCCCTCCACGCTGTAAGGAGTGGATAAGGTGGGCAAGCATATGAAACTTAGGATTAATTTTGTAGCGTGTCCACTTGCGAGCAAAAGCGTAGCTTGCGCAGCGGCTGTACAAGAAGAGAAGTTTCTTGCCATGAGCGGCGATCCTGGCAGCGTCTGAAGGCTTTAGCCAAAAGGGTTGCCAGTACAGCTCAGCCATGAACAGGTTTCCCTCCTGTAGAGCATCAGTGATCCATTGCAAGTAGTCTTCGTGCTCATCATCGTAATCAGCCAGCGCCCGCTCACAACGCCACTGCAAGAAACTTGTGAGTACCGTGGTGTCAGCGCCTCTGAACCAATTCCTCAGCACCAAAATTGCCCGAAACACGAAAGAAAACTCAATCACAAAGCCTAAAACTTTCAACAAAATTTGCACATGCAGTGAAAAGGGTCCCAGTTGGATAGTCCGATGAACGTTTCCAGCCAACAAGGATGGTGCTCAGGTTAGACATGTGCAGCTGCTTGCCACGCGCACCGCACCAGACTACCAGATCACTGTACACAGCGTCCAAGCGCTTCGCCACGCTTCCCTCACCGTAGATCCGCAGCTCTTCGATCAAAGTCACCTGGGCCGGGGCAATGGTGCCCAAAATTGGACCCCGTAAAAACGAAACATCCCGCACCAATTGAAGCTATACAAGTGGCTATTGTGCTGGCTGCCAGATCTGCCAACACCCCTTTATGCATTGTGTGGAAGAGATCGATCTTGAAAAAGTCAGCACTGTCCGTTTCATCATGCGGGATCTTCATCAAAGGTGAAGGAGTAGTCCAAGGAAGAGGCGCCGTGTCCATTGTGTCCAGCCAAGCTGCAGAGTCATCCCACTCGTGCCAGGCATAGCCAGTTTGGCCTGCAAGGCACAAGTGGCAAATCCCTGCTGGGTTGTTGCTCCCAGGAGCGTCTCTCAGATGATGTCGATTCAAACGCCCGCGTTTCGTCAATGCTGGCCAGTCGCCCTTTAGCCCCAGAATGCAGAGATGCAAATTGGTACGCTGATCATTGATGACCACCTCTATGCCATTCTCAAATGCATTTGTACAGCTGTCTGCAAAGTGACTCAACAAAGCATAGAGCGGCGCCTTGTTTCTCGCCTAGGTTTTCGTCATCATCACGCTAAAGAGGATGCGCGTGAGGAACGTGTCACCTGAGAAGTTTACATCGGCGGATCTGCGACTGCCGGCCCCAAGAGCCGATTGCAGCGACCGCGCAAGAACACCCCGTTTCTTGATAGACGTACCCTCGTCTGCGTGAAGGAAACAAGGCACACACCGGCTGAGGCACATGTTCTTCTTGAAACACGGGTGCTCTGGGCAAATGCGCTGATACTTATGCCAGAACGATTGGTAGCTCTCCAACGTTTGGCCTTGCATCAACACCTGCAGCTGTCCAGCCCTTGACAGGGCCTGTATATACTCTGAAACCCCAAGGGTGGGATGGAGTTGCGCCAGCCCAATATCAACATCGGACACTTCGCAATCAACCTGTAGCCCGTAGTCCACAAACAGCGATGGCAAGCGGTTCGGATGTCCTGTTTGGTGCAAATTTGCCATAGACCGAACCAGTTGACCACTGGGCATAGTTTGTGCGTCCCCAACAGTCGCTGCTTCATCGTAGAATGCGTGCGCCAACTGGCAAGCCGCCGCTTCGCTCACCTAAAATGTTCACGTCATGCATGAACTTAATTGAACCAGAAGGGGGCGAACACCGACACCGAAAGTATAAGAAATGGATGCACTTTCTTCCAAGGCACACCACCTCCCACTGCGCGAGCAATGGCTCTACCCAAAGGCCCACACGCGCGGCTTCGCTTCTGCACCTGCTCGCTGAAGGAGGCACCTGCGAAGGGCCGCGGATTGCTGGCTCGACTCCAAGAAACATGCATGCCTGTACCATGCAAAAAGGACATCTGCAATCTGCGATGAGCATCAAGCCGCAACCATGCACCGGACAGACAACCCTTTTCCGATCGTTTCCCCTTGCAGAGATTTTCTGCTCCGCCAGATTCAGCCGTATCGGCCAAACTAAACCCCACACATTGGAATGCACAAGCCCAGCATACCTAGATAGCCAAGTTGCTGTTTGTTTCAGTCACTGTTGCTGGTTTTTGGGGTAAAGTGCATGGAAAAGCAGCAACTTGCGATCCAGGTAATCTTACTCTTGCAATCTGTACTCACTGGCCAGCGCATGCATGCGTCCAGGCCATGTGCATTCCTATGCAAGCCCGAATCCACGCAGAATGGTTGCCATTCCGCCTTCATCTCAGACGACCTGCACCGGGGACGGTTGGCATCAAATGGGAGGGAAAGGGAAGGGCAAGCAGGCCTCTAGTCGCGCTTGGTCTTACCCTTAACCTTCTTTGCCTTCGCTTTCGTCTCCTTCGATTTCTCCGTTTTCTCCTTTTTCTTCTCCTTCTTTTTCTCACAGTTTTCGCCTTTCCCACCTTTGGGTGTCTCCGCGGGCACATCGCTATCGGTCACTGCCCGCTTCACGTTCTTCAGAATTGTCCTTTGCAAATTTTACGCTGCATGTCGCACTAAAGCCCGTAAAAGGAAAACAGATGCAACTCGGGCACTTCTTCAACTTGTTCTCCTCTATCTGCGCCCGGGATGCCCTGGCCATATATGAAACGCGCGGGCAGATTCGCACAACATGTTGCTGAGCCTCACTTCCACAGCGCGTATTGCTTCGACCATCTGAGCTGTTTTCCTCAACCACCGGGCATGCAAGAGCTGAAGCGAAAGGAGTCACCCAAGATTGGGAACACATCTGCAGCAAGTCTAGCCAAGCATCTGCTCCGGGAGCTTGCCACGAGTGTCAAGCTCTGCCTTGTAATTCGCCAAGTCATCATGCCCACTCATGAGGGCTGCAATGTGCACGTTGAGGCCCTTCAGCCCTCAATTGAATCGGCCAACCCAAGCCCGGGCCCACAATCGTAACGAGAAAGCCGCTCCGAATTGATACTTTTCCGTCATGCATGCATGAACTCGGAATGAAGCAGCTTCGGCTTTAATGTCAGCCAAAAGTCGATGCGGCAGCATCCGTGCTCATCCTCCAGCTAGCTCGCCGTCAGCTCCAACTTCGCCTGGCACTTGAGGAGCTGGTTCATCACCTCGCTGATGGACTCCGCAGCCTGCGCAATTTTGGACGCGCGCATGGTGCCTAATGGAACACCCAAAGATGCCTCCATGATGCGCTCTTCCTCAACCTCATCCTTCCTTTGCTTTTTGTGGCCAGACCTGTGCTTCTTCCCTTTCTTGGGGGACCCCTCACTGCCAGAGTCACTGCACGTCTCGCTGTGACTGCCATCAAGGAGGACCCCTTCCGGCTCCGGTGCGGCCAAGTCAACTGAGCCAACACGATCTCGACTGGCGTCTCCTCCCTGAGAGTTTTCTCATTGATCTGCTCGTAAATGGCTGCCTCGTGCTCCGTGATGAGATACTCGTTCATGTTCTTCTCGTATCGATCTTTCCTAGGCCGAAGAGACAATTCACTGCACGCACAAAGAGGAAAAAGTGAAATACGAACCGCTATCTGGGAGGGGTTTGTGAGGGATAAGGAATCTCAAACCGGGTTCGTCACTCGGATCCATGCAATAGCCCAAGGGACCGAACATGCTTCTTCCTTCGCGAGGCAGCACTGCAGTACGCCACAGCGGCCTTGATGCGGGACCTTGTCAAAAAGGGCGGGTTATGGAAACCAATAAGGATCTGCATGCCCCCGAAGGAAAATTGAATGGATGCAACTTAGATCCCCACTTGGACCATCCCAGGACCTTGTCCATTTTCTCTTCGCTGTACCAGCCCGCGGTGATTGTGTTGGTGCTTTTCCGGCTCATGGATTCAATCACATCCAGCTTTTGCTTGAACATGGCCCGGTCCCCTCCACAAGAGACCATCATGTTCACAAGCAACTTTCTGCCCGGGCCCCCTTCCACTGCTCAACAACCTGCTGGCTCACATCGCACCGTCCTGTCTTGGCCTTTGGCGTGCAGAGCCTTCTGAGGCAGGCTTCGCAGCACGCTCGTTCTTTCTTTTCCTGCGGGCATGTGCGCCGATCAAAACAAGCGTACGTCACCTAACAGCTGTCAATGCTCAACTTCGCACACAAGTCCAATCTTTGAAAAGGACTCATAAATCACGTACATGCATACATGGAGTATATGGCTGATCATGCTCCGACAATGCCTTCAAGACACCCATGAATCACCAACACAAAAAGTAGAATCCTGCACGCACCCATTTGTCAATGTTTTGTCTTTCATGGTCAAGGGAAGTCCTGGGTAAGCCCTGTGCACCAATGCAATCCCCATCGTCCTTCTCTGTCTTCTCCGGGCCAGCGTCAGCTTCTTCAGAATCACCAGGTTCCTCAGACGGGGCTCAAGTGAAGCAAATGCGTGTTGAAGCTGCTTCAAATCATGACGAAGCCCCTCTGAACCCGAACGACTCGAATTCGGTGGACTGGAGATTTGGAATTCCGGGCCTTTTGATGGGGTGAACCCTGATTAATGTGCACCCCCTGAAAAGAAGCCCCGGCAGCCAGATCCCCAAAATATCTGCAATCTGCTCAAAAACGCGGTTCGTCAAAAATAACCGAAAACATGGTTGGGCAAAGTCCAGGTGCAGCCTTTGGGGATCATTTTCAGCAACCGCCCTATATCGCCTGAAGATCATGCCATGGCAGCGCTTTGCCATGTGGCCAGTTCGGCCTAACACATGCTCAGGCGAGCGAAGAAATCGCCCAGATGGCCATGCCCTCTCAATCTGCAATTGCTGTGCGCATATGGAAAACCTATAAGGCATTGCAAGGCCATCATGGGTTCATGCGGTGCACTACTGCGACGACAGCGCCGTCAAAAGCAAGCCCAGGACTTGCTGCTGATGCGTCAAGTTGATCCTGGAGGCTTCCAAATGAACCATGAATTCCCTTGCCATAATGGTCAAAGGGGTCCCAAGTGTCCACCGAATTCATGCGGGCACGCGTTTCAGCGCCCATTCGGGCATCATCATCGGTGCCACCAGTGGACCCCATTGCCATGGTCTGCTGCTCGGCAGCTGCTTCCTCTTCAGACTGCTGTCGCGCTCAGCCTGGTCAATGCGCATGCGAATGTCATCGGCCGCCTCCGTCGGCACATAGCTTGGGGAATCGCTCGGAGTTGTCGGGGACTCCAGCGGAGTTGCAGCCTCCACGACCTCCTTGATGAGGGGTGCCACGGAGCCGGCCCCGATGGGCTTTGTGATCTTCTTGATGGGCTCCTTAAATTTGATGGGCTGGGCTTCGTGATTTCCGGCTTTGTGGGCTCCATGATGAGCTTCTTCTTGGGCTGTGTGGGCTGTGTGGCCGTGATGAGCTCCGTGGGCTCTGTGGGCTCCGTGATGGGCTCGTGGTGGGCTTCATGGCCGTGATGAGCTCGGGCTCTGTGGGCTCCGTGATGGGCTCCGTGATCGGCTCCGTGATGGGCTTCATGGCCGTGATGAGCTCCGTGGCCTGCTCCGTGTCCATGGCGAGCCGGCTCCGTATTGAGCTCCGTGGGCTCCGGCTCCGTGGTGAGCTCCGGCTCCGTGGTTGTGGGCTCCGTCGTGATGAGCTCCGTGTTGTGGTGAGCTCTGTGGGCTCCGGCTCCGTGGTGAGCTTTGTGGGCTCCGGCTCCGTGATGAGCTCGGTGGGCTCCAGCTCCGTGTCCTCCGTCGTGATGAGCGTGGGCTCCGGCCCCATGGGCTTCAAGACCTCCAGGACCCAACTCTCCGCCATCTCCTTTGCGCCCAGCTCCGGGAAGCAGCCTCCTTCTGCGTGATCT